GTCTGTGTTGTTTTTATTTTTCTGATTTTGCTTTTGTAGTACAATTATCTAGAATGACAATATTACGATAGAGTTAATTAATAAGCCGGTTTGATTAAAAAAGTCATTTATGTATAACAATAGTTTTATAAATATATATTGTCATTATTTACATAGTTTATATTCGTGTGAATTTCCGATTCCCTGGTGAAGTGAATTTTACTTTTATTGATGTATTGATGGGACGCCCTGGTTGGACCCCTTTGGATACAGGTTCTGAAATCTATCCCTAGAATAATAACGTCTTATCCATGTAAGTCCCACGAGCGGTGTGTATAAGTCATGACGTGTCCTAACCGGTATACCCCTAATCTACCGGCATTACTGGCAAGGAATGACTAGATTTAATTAATGGGTTATCGGGTAAAGAACACTTCCCTTATTGTTGACGAAGATCGTGATGATGATGGGAGTTTGTAACTCTTATAACCCTACGTCTAGAGAAATATAATTGAGTAGCTACAAGCATTTTCCAAGCGAGACTTGATGTTAAAATTAACGGCGTTTGCCTCCTTCCCGGCTTGAGAGACGTATCTCTCTCGCCAGTTCCTATAATGTCCTTTTATTGACAATGGGAGGCAGACTAGTTTTTTAGTAATTATTTTAGATCCAGTCATATAGAATACTTTTCGTTAATTCAAAAGCATAGACTGGTGTTTAAAGTGATTCACATTATTATTAGCTGGTAAATTTAATTGGGACATGGCAGTGATATCTCGTTTTTCTCGAGGAAAATTCCACCGCAATCTCGTTCTTTGAATGAATTTGTTACTACAAAAACAGCAGCAATATTAACTGAATATTGTATTAAAGGTTTGTAAATGGTGTCGGTTTTTCTGATCTTCATCTTAAATCTTCAGAAGATGTATAAAGTAAATCTTCAGAAAACATTAATAAACATCCATATCCAACTAACTGTGGTGTGGCCAGATAATGAAGCAGTACTGCAATTGGAATACAACTATAGTAGCAAAATGCTCTATGTCAGTAACAACTCTAAAGTAATTAGAGACTTATCATTTGGATATAAACTCTGATAGTCCCAACTAAGGAGAAACCAGCTGATAATCTATCTAGAGGACTGACATTAAAGCAAATAACTAAAGCCGAGATGTGGTTCCATGGGCTTCAGTGGATAGGTAAATAATTACCTATCCACTGAAGTAGATAGGTAGTGGCCTGAACAAAAGTCACAAGTCATAGTGACCAATATCACTATTCTCACTGAGATCCCAAGCCTCACTTGACTTCAGTAATTGACTGTTCTCGGTGCTCTGCTCTGAATAAACTACTCAGAGTAACCCAAAATGTGTTTGATTTCTTGCAGAAAGTAGGTATCAAGCACAAGTAGATAGATTATTAAGAGCACAAGGTGCTCCTAAGTACTGGGTCAAACATGCACAAGTGTAAACCTAGAGTGAGTACTATGAAACTTCTCAGCAAAAAATATAAATTACTTAAATCTCTGGATTGATCCAGACAATCAGAACGCTCTGCATTGCGGGGGGAAGATTACAGCACACAGCCGTTGATCTTGAAATAAACAACCTCAGTTCCTCCCCACGGAATCTTTAGATAAGTAGATTGCTTGTGCTTTACTTTCACGACCACTGCACACTCCATGGTGGGGTACTGGCTTCCCTAAGGTTGCCAAACTGTTAAGTCAATTCTTAAATCCTGCAATTCTTAAATCCTGTCTGCCTGAGGTGCGATGCTCGGTGTGTCCTTTCCCTGGACCTCCACCACATCCTAGGGACCGAGAACTGCACCTTCACACTTTTGAGACCACTGTGGTAGACATCACAGGAGCTATTATCCTAACAGGCACCAGGGATAAAGTCCCGTTAAGGCTGTTAAGGCCTTTTTACTTGTGCCACCACTTGAGGAGCTCACCTGGAAGTAACTCCCCAATGAATTTTGAATCATTCATCCAGGCCTACCACAGGTTTGCTGTATGTAGATCCTGCCCCAAGTTGATGATATGCGATAACGGGTCCAGCTTGGTGGCTGGTGAAGCATGCCTATTGTAGGTCTGGCACCACCCACTTGTTCAGACTGCCCTGAATCAATGGCAGTGATACTGGCAATTTTACCACCCATAACACTGTGACCCGGGTGTTCTACGAGAGGATGGTAGGGACAGTGAAACGCTGTCTAAGGAAAAAACTCTAAACTACCAGAAAATAGATCTCCATGAACTCCAAACCGTTGTCACAGAAATTAATTCCAGAGTCAATAACCGACCACTGACTTACCTCTCTGACGATAACTCACAACACGAGCCTGTTAGTCCATCTCACCTGATGTATGGAGGATCTGTCACCCCTATTGCCTCCCTCACTGATGAAGAACGTAGAGATCCTTCAAACGTTGGGGAAAATGGTTTACCTCGGAGTTATAAACACCTGTCACAGGTAATCAGTCGGTCGAATGAATTTTGGACAAGGAAGAATTAACTGCTCTGCGTGAGTATCGCATTGGGGCTACCAAGCCCTATAACCGAATTCACTTACAACCATAGCGATGTTGTTCTAATGGACAGCAACAACCGCACGTTCAGAGTGGCTTATAGCTTGTACTGTTTGTGTTCACCCACACAGCCAGGGTACCTTGACGATAGTAAAAGTAAAGTGCAAAGGTACCACTAGCCTCAAGACATTATAAAAGTTAGTACCACTGGAGTTGGCTGGAGAAGAAGTCGCCAAGAGACCTCCAATACTGGAAGTCCATCCTGTACGTACTGCTGCACAGGAGTGCACAGTAAAATTAAAACAATATTTAAAAAATTCTGAAAAGGAGTAATGAAGTGTTCGGCTAGTCCTAAACAGTGGGTTCCGATCCATGTTTCTTTTCCCTGGAATTATGTGGGAAATTTCCCACACAATATTTATTTATAGTTATTATATTTTACCTAACTAAATATACATCAGGAAAAGATAGTTTCTGTTGCTGTGTAGAACCATCAAAACAAAATTAAAGTTAAGTTTATCTTCAATAGGAAGAAATGTAAATAATTCCTCCACTCATTGTGGAGAAAATGTGACCGCCACGTCACAAACATGTAGAGTACAGAGCGTATTTGTGTGTATACATAAATATTTAATTCATAGAAGCTGGTTACGGTTTTCAGCATAAATTAACAAAATAAATAAAAGCTGAAATCATTTTAAAGAAAGTAAAATTTAAATACCTCTCCTCTGGGATTGTGATAAAATATGTATGGGCAAGAGCGCTCCTTGACTGAAAAAGGAGACTCGCCATATTACACTTAACCCAAACGGAACACACTCTAAGGGAGTACCTAAGTAACAGAAGACAGTGAATCACTGTGCGGGGTGAGGTCTCAGATTGGCGACACGTGACCAGTGGGGTCCCGCAGGGTTCAGTCCTTGGACCCATACTGTTTCTTATATATGTCAATGATCTCCCAGATGGTATAGAATCATTCCTCTCATTGTTTGCTGATGTTGCAAAAATTACGAGGAGGATTAAGACGGTGGAAGACAGTATGAGACTACAAGATGACCTAAACAGACTGCATGAATGGTCCAACAAATGGCTACTAAAGTTCAACCCGAGTAAATGTAAGGTAATGAAACTAGGCCGTGGAAACAGGAGGCCAGACACAGGATACAGAATGGGAGATGAAGTCCTTCATGAAACGGACAGAGAGAGAGAGAGAAGGATCTAGGAGTTGATATCACACCAATCCTGTCTCCTGAAGCCCATATCAAAAGAATAACATCTGCTGCGTATGCGAGGCTGGCTAACATCAGAACTGCCTTCAGGAACCTGTGTAAGGAATTATTCAGAACCTTGTATACCACATATGTAAGACCAGTCCTGGAGTATGCGGCCCCAGCATGGATCTCGTACCTTGTCAAGCACAAGGCGAAGCTTGAAAAAGTTCAGAGATATGCCACTAGGCTAGTCCCAGAACTAAGAGGCATGAGTTACGAGGAAAGGCTGAGAGAAATGCACCTCACAACATTAGAAGACAGAAGAGTAAGGTGAGACATGATCACAACCTACAAAATTCTCAGAGGATTGACAAGGTAGATAAAGATAAACTGTTTAACACAAGTGGTACGCGAACAAGGTGACACAGGTGGTAACTGGGTGCCCAAATGAGCCACAGGGACGTTAAAAAAAAACTTTTTCAGTGTCAGAGTAGTTAACAGATGGAATTCATTAGGCAGTGATGTGGTGGAGGCTGACTCCATACAGAGTTTTAAACGTAGATAGGATAGAGCCCAGTAGGCTCAGGAATCTGTACACCAGTTGATTGACAGTTGAGAGGCGGGACCATAGAGCCAAAGCTCAAACACCAAAAGCACAATTAGGTGAGTACACTTGATGCAGGGCTGGAATTTTGAAGAGTATTAATAATCACTTTCATGCCCACGGCACGTGGATACACGACGGGTTTATTTCTATCGCTTGTGTGGTCGCGTCGTACATTTACGGTCCGTTTTAAAATAATTGTAAAAAATCCAGCTTAAATCCGATTTACTTGGGGTTTGTTTCAAACTGCGCACCATGAAATTGCCGTTATATTGATGGGAATAAACAGGCTCCCAACTATGCGCATGTATTGGCAGACAAATAAACCATGGCATGCAAGATTCTTCAACATGTTTATGACGAGCAGACGGTTTCAACACACAGGCCAGTTTTTTCATACGTTCAACAACAATGCGGTGCCAGTGAACAATACAGAAAAATTGATCAAAGTGAGACCAGTGATGAACTACCTGAAACACCGGTTTCAAGAAGTGAATAGCCCAGTAAAAGAGTTGTGTTTGGATGAAGGGACAATGGCATGGCGAGGCCGGTTGTCGTTCAAAGTGTACAATCCAAACAAACCAGACAAATATGGCGTGAAATTATATATGCTAGCCGAATCAACATCTGGCTACATTTAAGGATTTGAAGTGTATTGTGGCATTGGTCAAACCATCATGGAAACAGTAACTGGTTTGATGCGGCCATTATTGATTAAAGGGCACCATCTCTATATGGATAACTTTTACAACTCAGTTACCCTTACAGAGAAGTTGCGAGAAGTGGGGGTGTACACGTGTGGAACAATTAGACTCGTACGTGGCGCCCCAAAAGACCTGCAACATATAGCGAAGACTAAGATTGATGTGGATACCACAGTCTACCGCCGCAAGGACAACACCTTCATTCTGCTGTGGAAAGACAAGCGAGTTGTCTCTATGATTACCAACCTCCACAATGCAGACATAAATAGAGTTCAAAAACGCAAACGAGTTCGTAGGCCAGATGGAACAACAAGATTACAGCAGGTTGTGGTGAACAAACCACAGGCAATTGTTGACTACAATAAGTTCATGAAGGGTGTTGACCACTTTGATCAAATGGTAAAGTATTACCATTTCGCCAGGAAATATCACAAGTGTACAAAGAAAATAACCTTTTATTTCCTGCAAATGGCTTTGCAAAACGCTTATGCATTGTACAAGGCCCACACAGATGACCGAAAGAAACTAACTCTGCTCCAGTTTCATGAGGTTGCTATTTGGTCTTTATTGAAATTTGACAAGGCAGAGTGGCCTGCAACAACTACACCATCTCCACATATAGTTCATGCTCCAGACATAAATGATGACATTGGTCCTGTGTATCCTGCTGCTACCCCGTCAACACCTGGCCCGTCGGGTGTTAGGCGCCCTCTCTTCACGTCGACACCTCGTGCTGAAGCCGACCATGAATCTGATGAAGATATTTCTGCTGCTACACTGTTGTTTGAAGACAATGGTGAGAGCGATGACTCAGACTGTAGTGTACTACCAACACAGAGACAACAGGGACATGTTGTTTTATCAGAGACTCGCCTGAACTACAAATTGAAGCATGAACATGTAAAACTACCCAAACGTCGCAGGTGTTGTGTGTGTTCAAAGTCGGGTATTAGGAAGGAAACTGGTATAGCATGCAAGACATGCGATGTTCCACTTTGTGTCATACCGTGTTACACCACTTATCACAGGAAAAGGGTGTATTGGGTGGACAAGAAGTAACCACCCGCACCAGCTTCACTCCACCTACGAACATCTGTTGAGCAACTTCAGGAATCGATACCTGAAGGAGGTGGAGTGGAGAGAAAATGCTCAACTTATTTTTCTACAATCGTCTTTCCTTTGGTAAGTACACATAATTGTCCTAGGTTGTTGTAGTATTGTAGTCTATTTTATTAGGATTATTTTGATACCTATCTTGAGATGTCTTGAGATTATCTTGAGATGATTTCAGGGCTTTAGTGTCCCCGCGGCCCGGTCCTCGACCAGGCCTCCACCCCCAGGAAGCAGCCCGTGACAGCTGACTAACACCCAGGTACCTATTTTACTGCTAGGTAACAGGGGCATTCAGAGTGAAAGAAACTTTGCCCATTTGTTTCTGCCTCGTGCGGGAATCGAACCCGCGCCACAGAATTACGAGTCCTGCGCGCTATCCACCAGGCTACGAGGCCCCTAAATGACAACTGTAGCACGAAAACTAAAGTAAGTATACACAAACACCAGAAACTTTTTTTGCGGGTGTGAGTTTGAGTGTCCAGAGTGGGTTCCAGGTGTGTGTGTTCGGCCGTCTCTACAGGTGTGACTTCCCAATAATTGTATTTGATAGGTATATGTCTGTGTAGGGAACTTTATTCCAAACACTAAACAAAAAAAAAACGGTGTGAAACAAGTATAAACTTGAAAAACATGAACAAAGTAAAAACTTTACGCTCACGGGTTCAAACACGCGTAAGATTTTATTCGCCGCAAATTTATTTGACGCTCTGTTGACCAATTCTACCCATGTTCTTATAGAACTTTCTATTGCGAACACATTGCTAGAAAAATGAAATACGTAGCTTGAGAAATAATGTCAGGACAGTGAAATAAGTATAAACTTTCAGAGCGCTGTATCACAACAGTGTCGTCGCAGCTGAAATCACGGCTAACACTTCGGCCACTTCCCACACCTGTGCGGGTCACCCCATACAATAATTATACATTCATAGGCATATGTCTGGGTGGGGAATTTTATTGCGAGTTCAGTGATATCAAAATCAACGCTGTAGGATCACTGTGGAGCTGACAACAAACGAAAGAGTATGAACATATGCCCGAAACGCTTTGCGTAATAGTGGCTTTAGGCATTGTATGTACTAGCTATACCTATAAGTCAAACAATCCTTGTAAATATTTATTGTATGTATGTACCTTACCTAAATAAAATTGTATTGTATTGTATTGTAACATTTACTTCCTGTTTGGGTGTCACGGTGAGTCATCTTCGTGTTTATTTGTTTCGTGGTGGGATAGCAAATGCTTTGGTGACATTTTATGCATATGATCTTGTAGAGAATTTTATTGCCAACACATTGATACCAAAATGAAATACGTAGCTCGAGAATTGATGTTAGGAGCGTGAAAAGATTATACACTTTTTTTGTGTTTACGCTTGAGCGCCCAAAATCCCGCGCACACAATGGCTTTTTTTTTCTCAAGTGCCGCGCGCGCGAAAGTGATGTGACCACAGTTGATTGACAGTTGAGAGGCGGTACCAAAGAGCCAAAGCACAAACCCCGCAAGACCTATTAAATGAGTACACTTGATGCAGGGCTGGAGTTTTGAAGAGTATTAAGGTTCCTATGGTACACTCAGCTGATTGACTTCTTCTACAATAATAAGCCTTGTTCCATTTCTGATATAGTTATAGGGAGTGGCCCTTCTTAGTTTACCAACCTGATATGGTTATGTGGCATGATCAACCAGCACTGATGGGTAAGTATTCGCGATAATAAATCACCCTATTTCGTGATTTAATAATTCAATAAATTTTGTATGCATTAATGCAATGTATATTGTAGGCAAGCTGGCGTCCAGACTGAGAGCAAGACCGTATAGCAAAGCAACGCCTTAAATCCAAAATCTTAACTTAATTAACAGATTTTTTTAAGATTAGTTATTTATGGTTTTATATATAATCCCCCCAAGTGTGAAAGGAATCAGTTGTGCAGACTGAGTCAGTCCACTACTTTTAATAAAATAAACTTATAATGTAATTAAATATATAATTAACCAAAATTTAATAATTTATCATATAAAATTAAACATATTAAATATTGCTCTCAAATGTAAATTCCCACAGTCCTTCCTTGGTGTCCATGGGAAGAGGTGGGTCTGACTAAAGTGTCCACGGGAAGAGGTGGGTCTGACTAAAGGTGTCCATGGGAAGAGGTGGGTCTGACTAAAGGTGTCCATGGGAAGAGGTGGGTCTGACTAAAGGTGTCCATGGGAAGAGGTGGGTCTGACTAAAGGTGTCCATGGGAAGAGGTGGGTCTGACTAAAGGTGTCCATGGGAAGAGGTGGGTCTGACTAAAGGTGTCCATGGGAAGAGGTGGGTCTGACTAAAGTGACCATGGGAAGAGGTGGGTCTGACTAAAGTGTCCATGGGAAGAGGTGGGTCTGACTAAAGGTGTCCACGGGAAGAGGTGGGTCTGACTAAAGGTGTCCATGGGAAGAGGTGGGTCTGACTAAAGTGTCCATGGGAAGAGGTGGGTCTGACTAAAGGTGTCCACGGGAAGAGGTGGGTCTGACTAAAGGTGTCCATGGGAAGAGGTGGGTCTGACTAAAGGTGTCCACGGGAAGAGGTGGGTCTGACTAAAGTGTCCATGGGAAGAGGTGGGTCTGACTAAAGGTGTCCATGGGAAGAGGTGGGTCTGACTAAAGTGTCCATGGGAAGAGGTGGGTCTGACTAAAGTGTCCATGGGAAGAGGTGGGTCTGACTTAAAGGTGTCCATGGGAAGAGGTGGGTCTGACTAAAGGTGACCATGGGAAGAGGTGGGTCTGACTAAAGGTGTCCATGGGAAGAGGTGGGTCTGACTAAAGGTGTCCATGGGAAGAGGTGGGTCTGACTAAAGGTGTCCATGGGAAGAGGTGGGTCTGACTAAAGGTGTCCAAGGGAAGAGGTGGGTCTGTGTCCATGGGAAGAGGTGGGTCTGACTAAAGTGTCCATGGGAAGAGGTGGGTCTGACTAAAGGTGTCCACGGGAAGAGGTGGGTCTGACTAAAGGTGTCCATGGGAAGAGGTGGGTCTGACTAAAGGTGCCCATGGGAAGAGGTGGGTCTGACTAAAGTGTCCATGGGAAGAGGTGGGTCTGACTAAAGTGTCCATGGGAAGAGGTGGGTCTGACTAAAGTGTCCATGGGAAGAGGTGGGTCTGACTAAAGTGTCCATGGGAAGAGGTGGGTCTGACTAAGGTGTCCATGGGAAGAGGTGGGTCTGACTAAAGGTGTCCATGGGAAGAGGTGGGTCTGACTAAAGGTGTCCATGGGAAGAGGTGGGTCTGACTAAAGGTGACCATGGGAAGAGGTGGGTCTGACTAAAGGTGTCCATGGGAAGAGGTGGGTCTGACTAAAGGTGTCCATGGGAAGAGGTGGGTCTGACTAAAGGTGTCCATGGGAAGAGGTGGGTCTGACTAAAGTGTCCATGGGAAGAGGTGGGTCTGACTAAAGTGTCCATGGGAAGAGGTGGGTCTGACTAAAGTGTCCACGGGAAGAGGTGGGTCTGACTAAAGTGTCTATGGAGGAAGAGGTGGGTCTGACTAAAGTGTCCACGGGAAGAGGTGGGTGTTATGACCACGCATACATCAGTATGATCATATCTGAGATTGGTGTATGAGTGTGCTCAAACTATACAGTGATGTCTTGGTTGATAGCCTCGTATCACGAATATTGTGTATATGATGTAATCTTATGTTACCATATATTAATCCTTTTTAATGTATTGTCAATGTATGACATACATTTCCCAGTCTATATTAATTCTGTATCAAAGATGTATGCCATGTAATTGTGGATATATATATATATATATATATATATATATATATATATATATATATATATATATATATATATATATATATATATATATATATATATATATATATATATATATATATATATGTCGTACCTAGTAGCCAGAACGCACTTCTCAGCCTACTATGCAAGGCCCAATTTGCCCAATAAGCCAAGTTTTTCTGAATTATTATATTTTCTCTAATTTTTTTCTTATGAAATGATAAAGCCACCCATTTCATTATGTATGAGGTCAATTTTTTTTTATTAGAGTTAAAATTAACGTAGATATATGACCGAACCTAACCAACCCTACCTAACCTAACCTAACCTATCTTTATAGGTTAAGTTCGGTTAGGTAGCCGAAAAAGTTAGGTTAGGTTAGGTTAGGTAGGTTAGGTAGTCGAAAAACAAATAATTCATGAAAACTTGGCTT